CTAAACACAGAGAGGTGCTTAGCAGTGGATTCCGGTGTGTGATTGGATATCTGGTTGCTCTGATTGTGGTGTGTGTGTCTGTCGGGCTGATTCCTGAAGGCTTAAGTTCTTCATTTGTCTTTGCTGTGCCAAATAAAGATAACACTGAGGACTACAGCATCATGTTCAGAAAATGAGTAAAGTGCCAATGCCATAAAAGTGATTTTATGAGTTATATGAGTCTCAGCTATAAATTTCACTACTTTTTTTTAAAGGTAATTACTCTATGATGTACATCTATAAAATTATCAATATTTAATGTTTTGGTGAAGGGACTGCTATTATTGTCTTAGAGCGCTGTGTACTTGAAATAAGTTAAAGAATGTAATGGTTTTTCAGTTTTAAATGTTTTATTGAAATCATGATATCATTCTTATTTTCTGTTAAGCAATCTGTTTAAAACCCTTTATTTAAAAAAAAAATATTTGGTACCTTAACAGTATCACACAAACCCAAGTTCAGCTACTGCCCTTATGCAAAAGATTTAGAAGAAAAAAAGTGCAGTGTTATGGAAGGAAAAAAAAAAAACTAGAAATGTCCCATGAACTGTTTAATATTAACAATGTGAAGCAACATAAATTCAATTTCACAGAGACAAGTCAAAACAATTCATAACAATTAATAAAACAGAAAACTATTCCCATGTCATTTTGTCCAAGGAATTAACAGACATCAGTAAATTTTCCTCTTTTATAAAAAAAAATAAAAAAATTGCTGTCTAGGCGACTTATTGCAAGTGCCGATTCACATACTTAGATGAGGGACGATCCAGGCAGGGATCACTTTGGGCCACCACTACATTGTGAATGACTTTTCCTGACATGACTTAACGTCTCTATTAGACCGTATTATTAGAAAACCTACAGGATGCTTTCACAGAAAGACTTTCCTTAGGTATCCAAAGGCAGTCAGACTGTTGAAAAGAAACCATATCACTGTATCTCCACACATCACAACATCCTCTACTGTCCAGCTTTGGAACAAGTCAACATTGTAAACTTAGATGTGTGTAGTGCACAACGAAACACTGGCCCAGAGGCCACAGCTGGAGACTTTCTGCTGGACTAGACACAAAGAGAACATGGGTTCATGTACATGACACAGACAAATAAACCAGTCCAGTCCAGCTATGTTTTGGTTCAGAGAGTCTCTCAATGGCAGAACGTTACAGAAGAACAGTTTTGTTTTGCAGCATCAAATGGGCACCTTATTGGCCTGACCTCAAATATTCATCCTTTAAATTAATCCTATGAAACCAAAAATTCCCCAATGGCAGCAGCTCCAGGGTTGTAATTTACACCGCTCAAGAAGCTGGCAAAACATTTGCAATAATATCTTTGGCACTCTCACTCAACTTTTCGGGAAACTTGACCTCGTATTCGACAACCAAGTCCCCACGACGATCTGGGGATTTTGGAAGAGGAAGACCCTCCCCAGTGACACGCCGTTTCATCCCGGGAGAAATAATTTCCTGAGATGTTAACTTGATTGTGCGACCATCAATTGTTGGGACATTGATCGTGCAACCACAAAGTGCCTGAGAAAGTAGAGAAAAACGGGATTAGAAAGATACAAAATGACTATAAAAGAGCTAGTAAACAAACCCTGAGATTTAAGCCCTGTTTTACCTCTCGGAGTGTAATTTTTGCAGGATAAATAATGTCCGATCCGTCTCGTTTGTACACGGGATGTGGTTTATCTTTCACCACAAACACCACATCTGCAGGGATGTTTGCTGGCGTCTCATCACCTTCCTTGGGGAAAGTAATCTTGGTTCCTTCCTTCCAGCCTTTCTTCACCTCCACTGTAAGAATCTTGTCCTCAGTGCGCGCTGTTCTTCCGTCGGGGTTCAGGCGTTTGCGTGAGATCTTCATCTTCTTGGTGCAGCCAGTGAACACTTCATCTAGACTGACCCTCAGGTCGTGGGTCACCGGAG